GCTGAAAACCCCTCGTGGCTCCCGTGTACTTAGGACGGAGCCTGGCTCCATGCCTGGAGGGGCCTGGAGGTCTCCGCTCTCACCTTCTCCCAGACTCATGGGGCACCTGCTGTACCGCTGTCTCCTCTGCCCTGAGCTCATTCCCGCCTCGGAGCCTCTGTCCTTGCTGTTCCCTCCACTGTTCCCTCTGGCACAGCTACATGATGAAGTGCAGGAGGCAAAGACGGGAAGGAAGCAGCCCCCAGGCTGGCACTACGCGCGTGCTGGGTGATGGGGTTGTGGGTTACACTGCTTTTCTCCTATTAGGTTTTCTTTTTGTTTTGTTTTATTGCTAGAGAGAGAGAGAAACAGAGAGGGAGAGATAAAGCAGCCCCTGACGGGGCGTGGTTGTGGTGTAACCCCTTCCTCCATCTCTCCAACCTGTTGGGATTTGGGGCATCACACACTCCCAGTTGTTGGGGCTAAGACTCGAACCACTTGGTCAGCCATGTGGGATCTGGCTCCCTTAACCACTAGGTTAACCTCACCCTAAGCTCCCTGACCACTAGGTTAACCTCACCCTAAGCTCCCCTGACCACTAGGTTAACCTCACCCTTATCTCCCCTAACCACTAGGTTAACCTCACCCTAAGCTCCCTGACCGCTAGGTTAACCTCACCCTTAGCTCCCCTACCCGCCTGACTGGCCCTTTCTCTGAAATGTTCTATTTTCCGAATTGCCTGTAATGGTCTCGTTCCTTTATAATAAGCGAGTCCCCCACAGTGTAACAGAAGCAGTGGGCGGCCCAGGAGGGACTCCAGTTGCTCCAGCAGGGCCAGCTGTCAATCCAGGCCTCCTACTCACAAAGACCCAGGAGGAGGCACCTCCCGCTGCTGTCCCCTGGGCTTTCCTGGGGGCCGGGCACCACGCTGGAGTAGCCTGAGGAAACTGAGGCTCAGGACAGTGGAGGCACTTGTTCAGGTCACACAGCTCTGTGAATCTTTGCGTGCACACACACGTGTGTGTGTGTGTGTGTGTGTGTGTGTGCCCGTGGGCCCAGCTTGCACTGCCTCTGGCCTGTGCTACAGGGGCTCAGACGTACTGGCTGCTTGCTCTGGGAAACCCACAACACTGAGGGCTGCAGTGGGGGGGCGTGAAGAGGAAGAGGGGCTGTCCTCACCGCATTTGGGACCCTCCTCCAGGTCTCCAGGGAGCTCTGGGAGGGCGGATTGTTGCAGAGTTACAGTGAGAGCCCATCCCTGCAGGCTGCCGCTGCCCCACCCAGCCGCTCCTAGGGGCTGAGCTCTGGCCTTAGTAATGGTCTGCCTGTCTGTTTCCCACCTTCCGCTCTGCTGAGAGCAGCAGCTGGCACCCTGGGCAAGGAGGGTGTAGGGCTGGTCTTGCAGCAGGCCAGAGGGCAGGTTCTTTCCGCAGGAGCGGAGAGCAGCGAGCTATGAAGTCCTAGCTGGTGGGGACTGTGGGGAGACCCAGGCTCTGGTGGTGTCGGGGCATGCTCAGGGCCCCCAGGGAATTGGACCCGCGTGGCAGGGCCAGTGTCATTGCTTTTATCGGCTCACTCCCTCTGCACATCCACTGAGCACCCTCCCTGTGCCAGGCCTGTGTAGGCTGCTGGGCCTGTGGGACATGAGGTGCTTGGAGTCTCTTAGGGACGGAGCCTTCACCCAGCCTGGCACTGCTGGGGGGCAGAAAGGAGGGCAGGCAGCCCGGAAGTCAGGAATGTTTCCCAGGTGACGGCCTCAGGCACGCGTAGGGAACAACAGATTGCTTTCTGCGTGGAAGAAGGCAGTGGCGGAACCTGGGGTTCTTTGTCATCTCCACCCCGTCTCAAAGACCTGGTTCCCAACACAGTCAGCCACGTCAAGCCCTCGGCTCCGCGTGGCCGGGAATCTGACGCAGAGCCTTGCCGCTGGGCCCGCCGCTGAGGCTCAGCCTCATAGCTTTTTCTCTGCTTCCCAAAGGGGTCTTCAGTGCCCAAGGAGTCCAGACCCTGTCTCGGACAGGTGGTATGAGGTGTGGCTCCGTACCATGGCTCAGGCTGAGGTACTGCATGGGGAGGGCGGCAGGGACCCTGGCCCTCCACCATGAGGATGTCCCGGGATTGCCTCTGGGGGTGTGCTGGCACCTCCCTGTCGGGCATTGGGGGTGGGTCAGCAGGGTGGGCTGCCTGAGGGCAGCCCTGGTTTTGCTTCACAGGGGGATTTTGGGTCCAGGCTTGGCGTGTGGCCCCGCCCAGGGCGCCCTCTGTTGTCAACAGCATGGGTTCCCGTTTGCCAGGCCATGGAGACCCTCCCAGCACCCACCTTCTGGAGGAGGAGAGTCCCCTGCCCAGGGGCAATCACAGGCCAAGGGTGGTGCCAGAACCAAGCCAGGCTGGGTTCGAAGCCCGAGCCCTTCCTTTTCCGCTCGTTACACTTGACAGAGAGAGCTCCTTTTGCTCTCACGAAACCACCCGTGTGCTCCAAGCGCAGAGCTCGGGGCTCCAGACCGAACATTGTCATCGTAAAGAGACCTTCCCCTTCCTTTTTACAAAAATATTAATTAATTTTATTTTGTTTTTGATTTGCCAGAGGGTATGTGTACTTGCCAGAGACGAAGAGAAAGTCATAAGGAGAAGCACCGTGGGGCGTGGCTGTGCCCTGTCTTCTCCTCCGTCTCTCCCTCCTGTCTGGAGTTCGGGCGTGCACACGCATACGCACACACAAGCCCAGCGTGTGTTTCAAGCCGCTGGGGCCAGGATTCGACCATGCCGTCAGCCACATGGGATCTGGCTGCTGTAACCACCAGTCCATACGGCTGGCCCAGACATCCCCTCCCCTGTTTCCACAGCACTCTTTATGCACTGGTAGAAGCAGAGGGTCTGCTGGTGGGTGCCAGGCTGTCCAGCCTCTGGGGCCAGGGGCGCTGGGGATGGCCGGTGGGGGCTCCTCTGAAGGAGACGCGCCGAAGCTGAGACTGGAGGGTGAGCAGGAGTTGGCCAGATATGGAGGAGGGCAAGAGTGGGCCACCAGGAGCCTGTGGGATGGCGCCGAGCCGGGAGACAGCCTTCGTCGGTCTCAGTTTCTCTGTCTGGTGGGCACAGTTGTCCTTGCGTCCTGGGCGTGTTGGGACGGTTCGGTGAAGCCAGCCTGGGGGGGCAGGTAGCCTGGCACCCAGGGCCTAGTCAGTGCTCCCCAGTGACAGCAGCCTCTCAACGGGTTGGACTCTCGGACCAGGAGTCACCCCCAGGGGCTATTTGGGAATGTCTGCAGACACCGTGCACTGTCCCGGCGTGGGGAGGGGTGCTTCCGGCATCCAGTGGGGAGAGGCCCTGGGTGCTGCCCGCCCTGCCAGGGCTTATGTCCAGCAGGGATCTGGTCAGGAATGTTGGGATCACCAGGGAGGGAGGCCTGGTCTAGTCCAAGCCATTTCTTTCACCCACGGGGACACCGAGGTGCCCTCCCTGGAGTCCGGGTTAGCGCCAGGACCGGAGCACAGGCCCACGCCTCGGCACGGGGCAGGTCTCCTGGCAGCAGCACGTCTGATGGGGAGAGGGACGAGGCTGGGCCTGCTCGGGCCTGATGGGCCGGTGCAGAATGGCGGGCCCGGTCATGCTGAGATACGTCCCTGCACTTGACCTTCAGGAGACAGAGCTGACGTGTGCCTGCTGGGGGCTGCCTGAGCCGCGGTGGCATGGAGCCCGTCCCAGGGCTGAGGGGTGGGGGGCAAGGCCGGGTGCCCGAGAAGGCTCGGGGACCAGCCTCTGCTCCAGCAGGCAGGTGCCCACCCGCCTGTGGGGGAGGAACAGTGGGTTACGTAATGTTTGGGTAGGCTGCCGCTTCGCCCTGCGTTTCCAGGAGGGTGGCGCGTAGGCGGGGGCTGTGCAGCTTGGCTTGCTAGGGCGGGTAGGTGGGGTACGAGTGGGGGAAGGAGGGCTGGGGGCTGGGAAGATGCCCAGTTTCTTCTTTTCTTTTTCTTTTTTTCTTCTTTTTTTAGTTAGGGCACATACGCTTGTCAGAGCCTGGTGGGGAAGAGTGAGAAATCACCCCGGGGGGTGGTCATGCTACGTCCCTTCTCCTTCTCGGGATTTTGGGCACACACATGTGCCTAGTGTGATTGTCAAGCTGTTGAGTCCGGGGGCTTGAACCATGAAGCTGGCCTGGTGAAATCCAGCGCTTGAACCTCCATGCCATTTGCTGGCTCCCAAGCCTGTTTCTGCTGCTAACTTGCTGTGCAACCTTGCAACAGTGCAACCTTGCAACAGTGCAACCTTGCAACAGTGCAACCTTGCAACAGTGCAACCTTGCAACAGTGCAACCTTGGGCCAGTCCCTTGCCTCTTCCACTCTGGGCACTGCAATTCCTCTTCAGTAAACAGAGTGCTGGGAGCCTAGCAGTGTTTTTCTTTTTAAAGTTTATTTATTTAATCTCGTCATCTACTGGGAGGAGGCCAGGGTGTTGCTAAGCACCCTATACACGCAGGACAGAAGTGGCCTTCACACTGCAGTCTGCCCTCAGTCTCAGCGGGCCCAGGTCATGGCCGCACGCACCTGGTGTGCTCAGGGATGTCCCGGGACAAGAACCCAGGGCCTTTCCCTTGTGAGTCCAGTTGCTACCCCTGTATACCTCGGGGCTCAGGAAGAAAGAGCCCCACACCTGGACTCTTGCTTTCTGCCCGGCCTGGCTGTTTGTACACTCGTTCAACTCACTGGACGTCTCTGGGCCCTGCTGTGCGCCAGGCCAGGTGTGGAGTGTGAGGGTTCGGCAGTGTTGGGGTCCTGTACTCTGGTGGGGGCACAGCCTGGAGGCGTATGTGATACAGTGTGGCCATACCTGGGCCAGGCCAGGTAAGGAGGCCTGGAGCAGAGGGCGGCTTCCTGGAGGGAGCACTGTCTAAGCTGAGAGTGGACAGATAGTGGAGTAGAGACCCTCTACCTCTGCACCACCCTGACCCCTGAGGCAAAACATGGAGATCCACGCAGAGGTTTCTGTGCTGCGATTCTCCTTGGACATCATAACCAGGGACAGGCACTTGCCAGGGTGGGGGATTCTGGCTACACTGACTTAGCTGGATTCTTGCTATCGCTGGGCCAGCTCGAAGATTGGGGTGGGGAGCAGGGCAAACCCTGGTTGGGAAGAGGGCTCAGAGGAGCCCGCCTGAAGTTGGGCTGTGGGGAGGGCTGTGGGAAGCGGAAGCTGGGCATTGCCTGCTGGGGCTCGACTTTCTGGGGCCCTGGCTAATGGTGCCGAAGGAGGTGGGGGCCTTCAATTCTGCGGTTGTAACAGGCCAGGCCCCAAAGTTTCCCCTGAGCCTCCTCCCCATAGGCCCCCTCAATGCCAGCCCCCGACTGCCAGCCCCCCACTGCCAGCCCCCCACAGCTGCGCACAGTGCTGAAGGCTCCTGCTGGCGCTGTGCTTGCAGCCGGGCCCCCTCCTGCGAGCCAGCCTCCTCTGAACCATCTGCAGGGACAAGAGATGCCTTTGGGTGCCTTTTGTTTTATCTTTATTGTTTTTAATAACCATTTAGAATCATTCAAGTAATTCGAACCTACAGTGAAGACGTTAGAAGGTTTGCAGGGTCATAAAGGGGAAGGACCCGCCGCCCCGGCATGCAGGAAGGCATGCCGACGGTGGGATGTGGGATGTGCCGCTGTGGGTCACTAAGTCCAGGACGCTGGGACTCTGAGGTCCCCTCTGAGCTCCCTGTGCTGCCCCAGTTCCCTGGGAACAGAAGCTGACAGAGGGGTGTGAACAGGGGTTGGGCTGCAGGCACGTGGGAGGAGCCAGCTGCTGCTCCATGGGTTGGGACCCTAGCACCCAGCCAAAGAGGGCTCAGGGGAGGCAGGAGAGCTTGTGCAAGAAAGAGCAGCTTGGGGGGGGGTGTCCTGTGACTGGGTTTTTTACCCACTGCCGTGGGTGGCCAAGTGCTCTGTGCTCGGGTCCTGGGCTAATTCTCGTCACCCCTATCCCCATCGTGCAGACCAGGCTCAGAGAGGGGCTGTTGCTGGTCCAAGTCACACAGCTAGTGAGAGGCAGAGGTAGGATCTGGCCCAGGCCTGTGATGTCCAGCTCTGTGTTTGTGACCCCAGTGTGGCACCCTCTTCAGACAGGAAGTCTCAGGTTGCCTGGATCCTGGGGCAGAGGCTCTGGTGGTGGTCACACCAGCATCTCTTTAACCCTTTTCTGCCCGGTCTGCTGCCTCCAGGTATAAAGGCTTCATCAAGGATTGCCCCAGTGGGCAGCTAGACGCAGCAGGCTTCCAGAAGATCTACAAGCAGTTCTTCCCTTTTGGGGACCCCACCAAGTTTGCCACGTTTGTTTTCAACGTCTTCGACGAGAACAAGGTGAGCTAGGGGTTGACGGGGCTTGTGCCAGCCTGGAGTCTCCTCCCTCCTGCGGCAGTTGGCTCTGCTGAGCGGGCGCCCGCAGCGCCTCACTCCCACTCTGCTCCAGGAAGGAACACGCAGACGTGCGCACACACACACACAGCTGCACACAAGTGCATATGCAGACACATGCCCTAACAGACATGAGCACAGATGCCTACCAGTGCACACATTCACATGCATGCACACGCACACCCACACGCATGTATCCATGCAGAATACACACACATGGATGCATATACACACATAGCTGCATACACACATATACCACGTACAAATGCACACACGTGTGTCTGGGCACATGCATGAATATGCACACATGTATTCATGCAGAGCACACACATAGATGCATATACACACACTCATACATAGCCACACACGTACAGACACACATGCACATACATGCATGGATACATGCACACACGATGCACACAAAGCATGGGCTCACACACATGGGCATGCATACTGTGTGTATACATACATGTACACACAGGCGCACCCGTCTTCTGTCTTACAAGTGCAAATGCAGAGGCCTCAGGGCTAGGCACGGGACTGATAATCATGTAGTGTGTGGCAAGCCCATCTGTAGAGTGTTCCCGGTGAGGCCTCGGACGGCCTGTCCAAAGGCACTTGTCATACCCCGTTCTGCAGACAGGAAGACAGGCTCTGAGAACGTGGTATGGGGGCTTTGGCACCGGGCTGCTGTCACTGAGCAGCGTGTTTCCGCGACTTCCCCATGTGGCAGGGCGTCTGCCCTCGGCAGTGGCCGTGCTGACAGCCAGGGTGCCCACGGCTGGGATGTCCAGTCCTGCAGATTCTGTCCCACGGCAGCCTTCCTCCCGGCTCCAGGCTATTCACCACAGAGCCACTGTACCTTAGGCGTTCACGAGTGGGTTCTCCGCCCTGGGCACTCAGGTGTTTGATAGGTCGGCCCCCGGCCAGGGATCACACCTGTTGGCCCTGGAAAGGGCTCTGCCCTCTCTGGGCCTCAGTGTCCTTGTTTGAAAAACAAATGGTTAGGATTAAACACCCTGTAGAGCCCTCCCTCTTCAAAATCTCCTGTGGGCTGGGGGTGGGGGGCGCCCGCAGCCTGGAGAGGGGCCAGTGTTGGTGCTTTGGCTCTTCTCCCTCTGGAGGTGGGGAAGCCCCCCCCTTAGCCTCTCCCCATCCTCTTGCCCCCCACCTGACTGTCCCAGCCTCGGTCCCCCTCGCCTCTCCCCCTCCCATCTCCCTCCTCTCCTTCCCTTCCTCAACCCCTTACTTCCTGCTGCTGCCCCTCCTTGGGAGTGCATTGGCTAGGGGGGAGTGCATTGGCTAGGGGGGAGTGCATTGGCTAGGGGGGAGTGC